AGGCCAGCCTGGACTACCAAGTGAGTTCCAGGAAAGGCGCAAAGATACACAGAGAAACCCTGTCTCTCTCGAAAAACCAAAAAAAAAAAAAAAAAAAAAAAAAAAAAAAAAACAAAACAAAACAAAAAAAAAAAAAAAAAGAAAGTGTAAGTCACTGTCAGGGACCACTATGTTGAAGATCCTAGGTATGCAAGGTCAAGTCCTTTGATCTAGTAAGTGGTAGCAGATCATTGCTTATGTAGCAGATACTTCAGGAACTTCAAAGTGAATTACTATCTCTGAAATGTTGTCCAACATTAACCAATTTTCCAGACACCAGCTGAGTGTTCAGCAACTCTGTTCAATCCTGATACTGAGTATGTGAAGTCAGCACAGAGCCCACAGTTTAAGGGCTTAGTTCCCCAAGACTGACACCACACCTCAGATGCCATGTGCGTGCTTTTGACTGACTGACTGGACATTGAGTTTCCATGACCCCCTTGTGAGGTTTATAATTTACTCAAGTGGATTATGGAACTCAGGAAGTCACTTTTTTTTATGTTTACAGGTAGACTGTAAAAGATGCCATTCAGAAACAGCAAAGATGGTAGAAATATATTGGACAAGATGTTGGTGTAGCTTTGTAGCATCTGTACCCCCTTTGAGTGTGCTCTGTTGGCGCCTCCAGGTGTTCAACACAAGGATTTCAGAATCTTCTAATTCAGGCGTGTTTAGAGAGTTTCATTTTCAGGCCTCATGCCTCCACAGAGGTTGGGGATTGGATCAAAAGTTACAGCTCCCCAGTCACTTGCTCATTGTTTTGATCAGGATCATGTTGACACTCTCTAAAGGTCCCACCCTAACTGACATCATTAGAATAACTCAGATGTGAACAATAGATGCTTCTTATGCATAGCAAAAATACTCCTGTCATTCTGTAAGTTTGAAGGTTTAGGAACTGTACCAGAAACCAGGAGTAAATAGCAAATTTACTTTTTTTATTTTACACACACACACACACACACACACACACACACACACACACACACACACACACACACACTGGCAAAGTGACGTACAGACTTAGATTACTGTATTTGACCTTTGTATCTTCCCATTGTCCATGTCTACTTCAGACTATATGTATACCATTTCTTTTTGTCCTTATACGTCCTGTTCTGAAAAAATAATTTCCTACTTAAGAATTGCAAGAGTAGTAGAAAGAATTGCCATCCAGCTTCACCTGTAACATTTGGTTATATTTGCTCTTTCATAATTCATGTTTAAGTTCTCTTTCCCACCTTGACCCTTATTGAGAAATATGATCAATCCAGAATCTTTTTCTGAAGGCCTAACATGTATTTTTCTAATATATATTGGTGAAGTTAATTTTACTCTGAGAAAGAACCTTCTTGTATTCTTGATGTACACTTCAGGATCAATCCAGGGCACTTCTTAAAATTGTATGTTCTTTTTGCCAGGTGTGGTGGTGCATGCCTTTAATCCCTGAATCCAGGAAGCAGTAGCAGGTCAATTTCTATGAGTTCAAGTTCATCCTGGCCTACATATTGATTTCTAGGCTAGCCAAGGCTACATAGTGAGACCCTGTATCAAAAAAATTATAAGGGGCTGGAGAGATGTGTAGCTAGAGTTTTCCTGCCTTGCCCACAGTCAAGACAAATCTTTGTCACCCGCCAGTCCCACTGACTGTGGGCCAGGCAGGAAAACTCTAGCTACAGAGATGGCTCAGTGGTTAAGAGCACTGGCTGCTCTTCCAAGGACCCGGGGTCAATTCCCAGCACCCACATGGCAGCTCACAACTGTCTGTAACTCCAAGATCTGGGATGCATTTGTAATAGCAGACGATTCAGCTGAAGCTGGCTTGTAGAACTAAAAGGGCCAGTCATAGGATGAGCTTTTCCTGTTAGTTTGTGTCAGAGACCCGTGAAGCTAGCAAAGCTATGTTTTATAGTGTTGGCTTTGTTTTCAGGTGAGCTTCCTTCCAGGTGGCGCACTGCCTTTAGCAGTGGCAGATTTCCTGTTTGTACAGCACACTGTAGAAGAGCAGAGAAGTCCGTTTCTTTCTCAGAGACCCCCAGCAAGTCTTCTGTGTACTTCTTTCAGCCTGACTTGAAGCATTAGGCCTATTCCTGAATCAGTCCCTGTGTTCAGGGATGCACACGATTCATAGGACCATGGGACTGATGAGTAATAACTGACCAAAGAAAATGGATCTCCCAGAGAAAAATGGAGCTACCTACATGCTTTGGAGGAAGCAAATTTGCCTGAAGCATTTCAGGGGTAAAACCCGAGTGAAAACTTGGGGTACTCTTATGAAAAGGGAAAGGATGTGAGACAGGCAGCTAATCTGGTGACTTTTCTTTTTTAGGTACATGCAAAGCTTCCTTGAACTTTTAGAGTATGAAAACAAGAGCCCAGAAGACCCACGCGTTTTAGATAAGTAAGTATGGTGCAATTTACCTGAAAGGAAAACTATGTAGGCAAAAGAATATTTTGATAAATGGAACTCGTGCTATTGGGACTCAAGAATTGTAACTCAGGGCTGGGGAGATGGCTCGCTTGTTAAAGTGCTTAACATACCTGCACAAGTAAGGGCCTGCATTTGGATCTGCAGTAGTCAGATGAACACTGGGAAGGTTTGGCAAGCTGCCTGTTATCCTAGTACTTGGGAGTCTCCAGGGAAGCTGGGGGCTAAACTACCCCAAACTGTGAGCTCTGAAGTTTAGCTGCCTAGCTAGACTATCCAAATAAGCGAGCTCTAGGTTCAAGTGAGAGACCCTGTTTTGACAAATAAGGTAGAGACAACTGAACTAATCTGGCCTCCACATGTATGTGTGTGAGAATCTGTATACTCACATTCTAACATGCATATACCTATATATACTACACCTACATCTGCGAACACAAGAAACTAGAATTCAGACAAAAGGTTTAATTTTCTTGTGGGTAATGACATTGAATTTTTTTAAATTTAAGAATTTAGCACAGTACACAAAGAATAATGAAACTTAAGTTAATACTTCATGGCATAATTCTTAATATATTTAGTCAGAGTGAGCTGGACACCAGTTTAATATAAGCATTGTGGTGAATGTTCCATCTAGTGGTAGTTTGAAGAATGCAGTAGCCTCCATATACACATGAAATGCACATGAATTATCTACCTAATCCATCGACTTAAAAAATATTTTCCAATGAGATATTACAGTTGATCTCAGAAAACTGTAGTGTTTTGTTTTGGAGAAACAGAAGTGTGTGTGTGTGTGTGTGTGTGTGTGTGTGTGTGTGTGTGTGTGTGTGTTCATACAACAACCTGAATTCTGCTGCTGACACTATACACAGAGACTACTGAATTCTCATGTTACTAGAAAGTATTTCTGTTTTCCATTTTTGTTTCCAACAAAACATAACTCCAGAAAACCATAGCTGTTAATGGGCTTTTTTCCCCAAGAGAAATTAAGTATCTCCACCCTAATTTCTTCCTGTTTTGGGAGTGTATGATGAATGCTCGCTGAGAACTTTCTTTTAAGTATAGACATAATCCATATAATTGTGAGACAGACACTTGACTCGGATGTTCCATGAAAAGAACTAGGGAAACACTATCCCATCAACCTTGGAGTGTTTTTTCACCCAGACGTGAATTCACAAACAAGGACATATGGAGGTCAGAAGTGTAGAAGAATGTTCTCAAGGTTGTGACACCGCAGAGCAGAGCACCTATGAGTCATGGTTCCTTTTCCTTAGTGCAGTGGTTCTTTGCATTGTACCATACTGCCGAAATGGCTAGTTCCAGTCAGGAGAAGGTAGCTCAGGGTTAGTTGTATTTTCTCTAATGGGTCTGTGAAATGTGAAAAGTGCAAGCATTGGGTTAGGGCCACACTTGCTTCCTTGCTTCTAGTCACTGCTGTCATTTAAGGTGTTGACATCAAATGGATTGATTCCAGGAGCTTTGTTTCCTGAAATCATTAGTTGGGGACATTTTGAAATTCTCAAAACGAAGCTGGCCTCTAGTTCTACATTTGAGGATATAGATTTGGAGAAGTACACAACTATTAATTCATTGCTATGGTTTTTCTGGAGTCCTGTCTCTGTAACAAAATTTCCATCAAGGACAATATGTAAATGGGGAGTACCGGATCCAGTGTGTACTAGATCATGGCAGTAGTTCTCAGTCGGTGAGTTTTGATAACTTGCTGGCTTTATGCAGCTAGTTTGGAAAGTGGAGATTGGAGAAGCCCCATGCTGTTAGTAAAGGAAGGAGTGAAAGGTGAGCTAGTGTCCTGAACATCCCTTTCTGTTCAGCTAGAGGTTATATGGGATCATTAACTGGGGTGTCATCTATGTAAATCAAATTGATCATCATGATAGAGATAGAAAAGCCCAGGAGGGTAGGGAGGTATTCTGAGAATTAATCTATTAAAGTAAGCCTCTTCTCTTCAAGTAAAGATGTGTCTGCACTATAATGAATTATTTCATTTTACTGATATTTAGTTTTTTTTTTTTTTTTTTTTTTTGGTTTTTTTTTTTTTTTTTCGAGACAGGGTTTCTCTGTGTAGCTTTGCGCCTTTCCTGGAACTCACTTGGTAGCCCAGGCTGGCCTCGAACTCACAGAGATCCGCCTGGCTCTGCCTCCCGAGTGCTGGGATTAAAGGCGTGCGCCACCACGCCCGGCCTGATATTTAGTTTTTAAATACATTGTTGGAAAGAGGTATATGAGGAAAAATTACCCATTGTAAAATTTCTTATGAATAATTGTGAACTTGGGCATTTTTTTGGTTTTGTTTTTGAGACAGGTTCTCACTGTGTGGATCAGGCTGGTTTTGCACTCAGAGATCTAGCTGCCTTCTATGCCTCCCGAGTGCTGGGATTAAGATGTAAGCCTGGCTAATTATGAACTTATAGTTTCAGAGTTTACTCATCTTTGCTATCATTGTATGTATATATTTGTTATAGAAGTATTCCATTGAGAAAAATAAGACTCAAATAAAAGAAAACGTATCCTAAATTTCCATTAAATACTAGGGGACAACCACAGCTAACATTTTCTTCTACCCTTATGTACCCTAAGCATTCATATTGCATGAGTGTGAAGTTTTTGTTTTTGTTTGGGTTTTTGTTTGTTTGTTTGTTTTGATTTTTCAAGATGGAATTTCTCTGTGTATCCCTGGCTGTCCTGGAACTCACTCTGTAGACCAGGGTGGCCTTGAGCTCACAGAGATCCTCCTGCCTCTGCCTCCCAAGTGCTAGGATAAAAGCATGTACCACCACTGCCTAGCAATTTTTATAAAAATAATTGTATACAGTAGTTCTTGGACATTATTAATAGTTTCACAATACAATCGTGCATCACTTAATGACTGATATACCTTTAGAGAAATGCTTCATGAGGACAATTTGTTTGTGTGAACACTGTGGAGTATCCTCATGCAAACTTAAGAGGATGACAGCCTTACTAGGGGACATAATCTTTTGGGGATACTGTTGTGTATAGAGTCTGTCATTGAAATGTTACTGTGGAGCACATAGCTGATACTTATACACACAAACACACATACACACACATACACACACACACACACGCACACACACATTTGGCTTTTTGAGACAGTATTTTTTCTGTGTAGCCTTAGCTGTCCTGGAATTTTCTCTGTAGACCAGGCTGGCCTCAGAGATCCGCCTGCCTCTGCCTCCATAGTGCTGGGATTCAAGGTGTCTTCCACCACTGCCCGTCACATAGTATTAATTCTTCTACAGATAGGCCATGCAATTTGACCCATTAGTGTTGAATTTTAGACTGGTTTGTAGTTTTTAAAAATACATGTATGTATGTATGTGTGTGTGTGTGTGTGTGTATATATATATATATATATATATACATATACATATACATACATACATACATATATATATATATATATATATATATGAGTATATGTGCATAGGTGTTTGTCATGTTGTGTGTGTAGAGGTTAGAGGATAGCCTTGGCTGTTGGTCTTTGCCTTCACTTTCTGTGGCTTCCAGAGATCCAAACTCAGGTCACCAGGCTTACACAGCAAGTGCATTTATCCACTGAGCCATCTTGCTAGCTCAAACAGTACTCCTAAAACAGCTTTTATTTTCTTTCTCTCATGTCCACCCCTCCTCCTCCACCCCCATGTTCTGTGTGTATGATACATGCATGTATGTTTGTGAAAGCAGTTTTTAAAAACAGCTATTCACCTTGTTCAGTTGTCTCCCCAGCGTTGATCCTACAAGTGGAATTATCCTCTTTGGACTTCAGATATATTTGGTTAAGTTGCCCTTAGCAAATGTTCCATTTAGTGCCCACACACAACCTACACTGGCTATTATTTGCCATCCTAAGAAAGAAAGAACAGTTTCACATAGTTTACTTTGCCTTTGTGCTGGGTAATTGGTTGGCATTTGTGCTTGCTTTTTCATAGATTTCCCCACTAATATTAGACCCTTTTCCTAGTTTCTCAATAGGATGTTCATCTTCACAAAGTATAAGGACTTTTGTGCCTTCTTTTATTCATGTGTGTTTTTGAAATTCTGCAGTTATCTTTATTTCTTTATGTTATGTGTTTCTGCCCTTGCTAATAAGCTTAGAACAGCCTTCTTTATTTTAAAGTTACATACTTAATTCAGCTGGTTTTCTTTTATTGTTTGTGATTTCATTTCACTCAACATTTTTATCTTTTTCAAAAGAAATGAACTTTTATGTATGGTTTATGTGTATACACATGTATGTATGTATATGTGTGCATTTTCATGTGGAGACCAGGGGTTGGCTGTCTTCCTTGATCACTCACCTCATTTTTCCAGACAGGCTCTCTCACTGACAGGGAACTCGATGTTTTGACTAGAGTGGCTGGCCAGCGATCCCCTGGGATCCACCTGTCTCCACTCCCCTAGCTCTGGGTTTCTAAGATGTGCTGCCACACCTGGCTTTCATGTGGGTACAGAGCCTCCTCACTTTACCTCCAAGCCATCTCCCCAGTCTCACTCTTTCATTTTTCATTTAATTGGGGCTTAAAGGCTTGAAATTGTTACATGATTAGACCTCTGGCCTAATCGGTTTAATCATTCCCTTACTGACTTACATTGTTACATTCTTTTCTAAATTTATTCTTATTCCATGTGCTTTGGTGTTTTTTCCTGCTTGTATGTCAGTGTGAGGGTGTCAGATCCCTGGAACTGGAACCACAGACATCTGTGAACTGCCATGTGGGAGCTGGGTATCGAACCTGGGTCCTCTGGAAGTGCCATCAGTACTCTTAACTGCTGAGCTATCTCTCCAGACCCCCATTGTTATACTCTTAATATGCTACATTTTGGTGCACATCTACTTACTCAAACTTTGAGCCTGGCTCCATAATTTTTTTTTGTTGTTGTTTCATTGCTTGACTTATTTTTCTGTTTTTAAAGTCACTGTATTTCATATATTTTTTCTATACATGTTTTTAAATTTATTATTTTTAATTTTATATGCATGGGTGTTTTGTCTACAAAACATGTGTACCACATGAGTATTTGGTGCCTATGGAGTCCAGAAGAGGGTGTCAGCTCCTCTGGGACTAGACTTAAAACCGGTTATAAGCCACTATGTATGTCTTAGTTAATGTCATATTGGTGTGAAGAGACACCATGACCACTGCAACTCTTTCAAAGGAAAGCATTTAATTGGGATTTGCTTAGAGTTTCAGAGGTTTAGTCCCTTGTTGTTGTGGGAGGAAGCATGGCAGCATGCAGGCAGCTGGAGAAGGAACTGAAAGTTCCACATCTGGGTCCACAGGCAGCAGGAAGAGAGAGACACTGGGCCTGACATGAGCATGTGGAATCCCAAGGCCCCCAGCAACACGCTTCCTCCAACAAGGCCACACCTACTCCAACAAGGCCACACCTACTCCAACAAGGCCACACCTACTCCAACAAGGCCACACTTCCTAATAGTGCCACCCCCAAGCATTCTTTGGGGGCCATTTTTTAAATTTTTATTTTTTTATTTTTTTATTTTTCGAGACAGGGTTTCTCTGTGTAATAGTCCTAGCTGTCCCAAAACTCTCTTTGTAGACCAGGCTGTCCTCGAACTCACAGAGATCTGCCTGCCTCTGCCTCCTAAGTGCTGGGATTAAAGGTGCCTACCACCACCACCCAGCTGGGGACCATTTTTATTTAAGCTACCACAGTGTGTAAACTAGGTCCTTTGGAAGAGCAGCCAGTGCTCTTGACCACTGAGCCATCTCTCAGTCCCTTCTCTATACATCTTTACAGTAATGTGCCAGAATCCTTGAAAATGATTTGTGAGTTTGATTGGAGGTGGGCGTCTTCCTATATTGTGCAGGCTACTCTTAAACACCTTAGCTCAAGTACCCCCTTCTTCCGCCTCCCGAGTATCTGGAACTACGGGTATGTGCCACTGTTCCCGGCAAATGAGTTTATTTCTGTTGAGTTTTTATATCTACATTGCCTCATGTTACCCTGCCAGAAGGAGATGATTTCAAATTCTTGCTCATGAAAAGCGTGGCACTCTTTATTCAGAGAAGAAGCTCTTGCTTTAAGACTCCATTTGTAAGTCCTTAGAGACTTTGGCAGGATTGTCCTCATGTTGTCAGGAGAAGCACTGATATGTTCTGTAATTCTTAGTAAAAAGAAAAAAAAACATTTATAGAACTCCAAAATGTAAGTGCATTCCTAACAAATTATTTGAACTTATTTTTAAGCTTTACAGAACTTTTTACTACTTTGGATAGCTCTGAAGGAATTTTGGTAGTAAGTTTCAAACCAAAGCTTGAATTAAGTTTTAATGTTTATGACTACTTCCTTTTACTATCTGGTAAAAGTAGTATTTATTCTTATAAAGAGTACTAGCAGATAACTAGACAGCGGTGGAAGTGTGTTCCGGTCCATGAACTACAGACTTACCACTTTGTTTCCTTCCCATGCAGCTTTCTCCATGTTCTGATTAATATCAGAAACAGACACAACGATGTTGTTCCTACAATGGCCCAAGGCGTGATAGAATACAAGGAAAAGTTCGGGTTTGATCCATTCATTAGCAGTAACATCCAATATTTCCTGGACCGTTTTTATACCAACCGCATTTCTTTCCGCATGCTCATTAACCAACACAGTAAGTGGGTTATGTTGGGTCCAGTTGTGAAAAGGTAACCACATTGATTTTTCTGGAAAGTTTTCCTTGTGTTTCACTTCTAATTTACTTAGACTTTTAGCTGTAGAAATTTCATTTCTAGTTCAGTTTTTCTTAAGTGAATCCTTCCTATTATAAACATCGCTTAATCAGTATTGATTGAAAGCTGTCGGAAGAAGACATTTGTGATGCTTACATTAGAGGCAGGACCACTGCTGTCTTTCAAGGGCTCTGCGCTACATTTCTGTGGAGACAAGGGACTGGTTTAATGGCAGCCACATTGACTTCTCAATAATTTCATGTACCTGGGAGTATTTTTTCTTAATCCATACATGTATTTTCTTTTTAGTTTTAAAAACATCAAAACTGGAAATATTGAATTGGCATGTTGGATATATAAGCAATTCCCTTTATTCCACAGTGATAGGAACAATCTGAGGAAGCAAGATTATCAGTCCATGATGCGACTTTGAGAGTTTTTTTAGTCTGTTCCCCATGGTGATAGACAGGGGAAACATCTAGAATTCTTTTCAGCACAAAGAACTTCTTGGCTGATTTCTAGTGTTGTCACCTTGCCTGATTTTTTTTTTTTAATTTTAAGGAAAAAGCATCCACATGTTTGGAGTCATTCTTGCTGATCAGAGAATGGACAAAGCATATTTTGTTTGTCTTACTCATTTTTTTTAACTCATTTAGATAAACAAATGTTATGGAACTCTTAAGTATGTATTTATGTATTTTTTAGAAACAAATGTTTGACAATTTATAGAGAAAAGGGAACTAAATGCTAGCCAGCTAATCTACTGAGATAGCAACAATTTCCAAGTGCTGATTGATTTAATATAAAGTCTACCTGTGAAAATTTGGCTTGAGCTGCTTTTTTTCTTTTCAGGTTCTTTAGGTTTTTATTTAGGAATAAAAGTTGGCAACTATTGTATAGAGTAAATGGAATATTTTTCTAAATTATATGAACAAATCTTGTTGGTGTACAAAGAATTGAAAAAGAACCTCCATGATGCAGGCATTGGTAGTGTTGCCAGTGAAGGTTCCTCACAACTGGCCTGGCTAGTGAACGTTGTGAATGTTTAGGGATTGGGATAAATGGCTGCAAGAGTCTTGAGCAGGGAGATAAGCTGCTACGCATGGCAGTGTCTTGATCTAGTTTCCATCAGCGGAAGGAGAAAGGATTGGGCACCTGCCATGTGCCGCTGCTTTAGGATCGACTGACTGCAACTGAAGAGACCTGAAGCACATACATCCTTCCCCCTTTTTGACTGATGTATTTACTCAGCCATCAGCTGGATTGCATTACTCTAAGTCATTGTGGATGCTGAAATGATTCTTAAAATAAAGAATCCTTTTTGACAGTTAGAAATGTATTTCTGTGCTTGGCCATCTCAGCTTGCTGTGTTTCAACCCCTTTCCCTCTCTTTTGTGTTCATTTAGCACTTCTCTTTGGTGGGGACACCAATCCTGCGCATCCTAAGCACATAGGGAGTATCGATCCTACCTGTAATGTAGCTGATGTGGTGAAAGGTAAGGATACCAACCCACTGTCACTGACCATGGCAGAAATCGCATGGTGGTTTGTTTGAGGCAGCTCAGCTGTAGGGTTAGGTTGCTGTGTAGTCTGTGATTCGTCAGGCCATGTTAGGTCTAAACCACTTAGTTCAAATAGGAAATATTTCTAGATTGGGAAAGGATGAATAATTTCTAATGCTCAAGTTTCAATCTCTACTTCATTGGTCAGGGTTTAGTTCTTTCTTAAACAGTTAACATTTCAGGAAGTTCTAAATTTTGACTTGCCATCATTTTAAACTATTTCCTTGTTGTAAAATGGGGCTGAGTTCACATTTGCCAAATCTACATGTATTTCTGTTTCATACTCCTGGTGTTAGAAGCTATATAGCAAGTGGGCTTAGCTGGATGGACACTATGCCAATAGTCCCCGGGTAGAGCAGGCCTGGTACTCATAAATCCCTGGTTAACTGAGGACTTTGACTTTGAACAATAGGTGTCCCCATTATTCGTTTAAAATAAATGCTCTATCAGGAAAGCTCAACTGGCTGTAACCCAGCAGATTCTAGTACTTCTTAAGTTTTTCCTTTGGGCAGATTCGTGTTCCCAACCTGTCTCCTTCCCCAGACTGCATTTCCTACTCTGCTTCTCATCCCTCTTGATATACTCAGGTGATGAGATGACATGACTCTACCTCTTCCTGGTTTTCCTCAAGGACCTTGGTTGCACTTGAGCAACCATTGCTAAGGACAACCTGTGCACTCTGTTTTCCTGGAGCTGCTTAGGCCACTGTTTTCTCAGAAGACATTTACTCACATTATTTCAGTTCTAAGGTGACTACGTCTAGCTGATACATCACACTTGGGTCTTTTCTCTTGAACTGTAATTGATGTAAGGCCAGGGAATGCTTCTTTACTTGTTTGATAACATATATAAAACCTTGGAGTGCCTATAGAGATAGATGATCTATAAATATTCTGTGGCTTGATACATTTTAGACACTTAAAATTGTTTAATAATTTTATTATTCAGAAGTGTGGGCTGGAGAGGTGGCTCAGCTGTTAGGAGCACTTGCTGTTTTTGCAAAAGACCCAGATTCTCTTTCTAGCACGCAACATAGCAGCTCACAACTGCCCATAACTCCAGTTTCAACATCCTCTTCTGACCTCCAGGGGTACCAGGTACACAGACATACATGCTTGCAAAACACTCATACACATGAAATAAAGTGAAAAATCTTTTTAAGAAATTACAAATAAAAAAATACCATACACTGGAATTAACTAGTCCCAAAGTTTATAGTTTTTAGGTATGATATTGATATGGTGGTAATGTTTTTAGTCATAGCTTTAGAGATATATATAGCTTCAAGAGATATTAAATGTCTGTACATGGTATGAAGTAAGGGATTTGCTTCAAAATTAGAGGATGGGGAGTGAAAAAAGACCGGACCTCTGTGAAGAGTAGTTGAGGCTTTGGTGAGTATATGGGGGTTCATTATACTGTGCTTTATACTTTGGCAAATGTTTGAAATTCTTGATGGTAAAGTTTGGAAAACACTCATTTTAATTGTCTCATTGTTTCTTTACAAAATCAAGTCTGACTAATTTTAGGGAGGTTATAACTGAGAACCTGTGGATTTGATAAGTATCGGGAGTTTTATGAAACTTACCAACTTCTGTAGTACAAAGAGATTAAGCGGTGCTGCAGTGCATCAAAGCCTTATACAGGGATTCAAGGAGGAATCCCCGTGACTTAACTGCTAAGACTGAAAGAACTTGTTTTCCGACTGGTGCTGTCAGCATTATTCTGTTAATTAGCAGGTAGTAACTACTGATGATGTTGTTATGTTGATATCTAATCTGTGCATACAAATTTCAGGATGTGCCAGAAACTTGTACATTGTTCTTAGTGTACGAATTTTGTGCAAAAACTAACCGCAGATTATTCAGAGTAGTTCAACAGATATTTGAAAGAAAATAATCCTGAAAGTTTATGCCTGAGTCTCTTAGTGTCCCTGTGTCAGTCAGCTCTCTATTGATGTGACAAAATGCCTGAGGCAATCAACTTACAGGAGAAAATATTTGTGTGGGTTCATTTAAAAAAGTTTCAGTGCACTGTTGCTTGGCCCCATCATTGTAGAATATTGTGACAGTGAATGTGTGCCAGAGCAAAGCTACTCATTTTATGGTAGCTGGGAAACAAAAAGAGAAAGGAGCCAGAATCCCAATATCCCCTTCAAGATGAGTGACCTAACTTCCTTACCCTTATCCCCCGTCCTCAAGCACCACGTCCCCGTCCCCATCTTCTCATAGCACCACAAGCTAGAAGCCATTTAGCACAAGCATCAGTTTTCTTTGTTCATTTTACTCACAACTCCAGTCTCTTCCTTTCTCTTCATTCTTCCAGTACTCACAGCTTATTTTTTGCTGTGCTGGGGACTGAACCTTGGGCTTTAGACATGGTGGGCAAGCACTTTACCATTGAGCTTTATTCCTGTCCTCTTTACTTTTTATTTTGAGATCCAGTTTCACCATGTCTGCCAGGCTGGCCTTGAACTCACTCTGTAGCCCATGTAGGGTTTGAAATTATCCTTCTGTCATGGGCTTCGCAGTAGCTAGGATTATAGGTCTACATTGTCAGGTATAGCCCACTCACAGATTTATCCTTACTCTTTTGCCATTTTTTTAATCTTCTGCCTAGTGCATTGCAGAAGTTTACTATATTCTAGTGTGTGATTTTGGGGGAGCACAACCAAAGCCTAGATTCCTGGCAAAGCTCTGAGTAGTGACTGTCACTCCCCATACTCCCGTCATTCCACTTCCCCCAACACATATGCCACGCCCATGTACACACACAGGTGCATACATACACATCCTGCCACCGTACTTCCGAGGGGAGGAGGGAGAACTGAGACACTCTGTTCCTCTGTGAATCTTTGAATAGCATCTCTCAGTAGCAGATTTCCTAAAGTTAAAAAGCATTGGAGGGTGGTTTGAGATCTGAAAGTATACACTACTGCAAAGCCTCATCCACATAATCAACTTTCCGACTACCTTCCTTCCCATCAAGGTGCTTTACACGTATCTACGTTTAGAAACCTTTCTTTCTTTTTTTTATTTTATTTTATTTTTTTTTTTTTTGGTTTTCTGAGACAGGGTTTCTCTTGTGTAGCTTTGCGCCTTTCCTGGATCTCACTTGGTAGCCCAGGCTGCCCTCGAACTCACAGAGATCCGCCTGCCTCTGCCTCCCGAGTGCTGGGATTAAAGGCGTGCGCCACCACCGCCCGGCAGAAACCTTTATTTTTTATAACACTGGTGATTGAACCTAGGGTCTCTCACATGCTGAGGAAACACTGCACAGCTGAACTATATTCTGATCTCCTCTTCATTTTTTATTTTGAGGTAGGATCTTGTTAAGTTTCTAGGCATTCTCTGAACTCAACTCTGTAGCCCAAACAGGCCTTGAACTTGTCCTTCTGCACGAGCCTCCAAAATATTGTTATTACAGTCCTGTACCACCGGAATAAGCACAGCTAAATGTCCATTCCAAATGGCCCTATATGTATGTGCATTCATGTGCTAGTGCTGTACACGTGTGTTTTTGTAGCCTTCACAAGTTTTTATGAACTAAAACTGATCGCATACTTAGGCCTTTTGAGACAGATTGCAGAAAACTTATGTAGAGGGTAAGAGTGCTATTTTTATTTTTGACTAGACAGTTGTATGAAGGTGTACAAGTAGGGGTGCATCCAGCGTAACAGTAACTGAACAGAACTCTCTTAAGCAAACCTCCCCTTGTGGCTTATTCAGCACATTAATTTCTACCTTTATACGTCTGTAAATTATAGACTCTGGAGTGAATGCCAGAATTAAGTGGTATAAAGCAAGTCCTATTATCCTTTGGGAGGAGCCTTCTGTGGTGACCCTTTTGCCTCCTTTCTTTGTAAGAAACTAGAAAATCCAATGGAAAATCCTGTGATGACAGTGTTTTAAAGATACAGACTTGCATCTTTGCTTTGGTACAAAAGTTGACTTCCTCAGCCATGCTAACTTTTCCATGTCGTTTTTATATGTTGTTATTGCTTAGCATGATCACATACAAATGGCCTCCTGAGTGCATGACCTTGTTTCAGCTCAGAAATAATATCTTATGTTCTCAATTTGGTCTCCTCAGGTTGCCAAAACAGATTCACTCTAGCTCCAGAAATAGGTTTATTAAATAATTAAGTAGGTCCTATGGTCAGGACATGAAACACTTGACAGTCAGAGCTGTAGATACTGGAATTGGGAAACAAACATATCAGGTTATGTTCTGGGTGTCTTGCAACTGGAGTTGCCAAGTTATGGCCTCTCTACTTGCCTTTTTTTTTTTTCTTTTTTGGTATGCCCTGGTTAACTTGACTGATGCCCACTTAAGACAATGCTAAACACTCTAGGTCTTCCTACATCATGATACTCCTCAGTATCTTTTAACTTATGGTCACCCTCAATTTCCATCTTGAGTTTCCAAAAGGTAGATTTTTATTGCTTCGGTTCATCTTGTTCTTACCTGTGACTACAAGTTTTAATAGTCTGGCCATGGTTAGCCTGGAGATCCATCGTCTTTGTGTTAGATGTTTTGTCCGCATTTCCCCAGTCAGCTATGTTAGGAGGTTGGAGGATCTACTGTTTTGGAAAACTAATGGATTCCACTTAGGATGGATTTGGGGGTAGGGAGACTAATGATATATATTGCATTATATTTCTTTGAAACTTAAAAGGGTTTCTAAAAAGTGGCATATTGATTCTGGAAATTTCTTTGTAAGGGAACACATAGGTCAGTATGGTCTTTGTAAACATTCCCGTAGGTGGTCAGGTCAAAAATGTGCAGAAGGTGAAGATGTGGATAACCCATCAGTCTCATCTCAGACACTTGCTAAGTAGGTCCCTGGCTCAGGTGTGGCTCAGTGAGCAAGGGCATGTGCAGCAAGCGGGCTAAGGAGTTTTTGTTTGTTCTGTAAGTTTGTCAAGACAGGA